AGGGCGCTGGCCGTGCCACCCCTCTCTGCAATGACGCTGCTTCTGCACGGGCCTGTGTGCTCACAAGGCCTCTTCTGCGCATGGAAGAGCAAGCTCCTCATAAGAGCACTAATCCCCTCGGGCCAGGGCCCCACCCTGCCGGGGCTAGCCCGCCTGTACACTGCACAGTGGCAGCTGTTTCTCTCTGCCTGTGGCTGAAACATCGCATGAGCGGCAACTCAGTGTCACGTCATGAGCTGTCTCTTTCTTCCGCAGATGGTAAGACGCCAGTAGGAAAACCAGTAACTGCAAAACTTTAATGACTGCCAAGCAGCTGTGGGACTGTGGCCGTACAATTACTGTCATCCAAGGACTCTTACAGCCAATGGCGTGTAGCAAGAGCCTTTCTCCTCCTCCCGGGACCCAGACCGAGGCTCCGTGGGGAGGAAGGGCACCGCCTACAGCCTCGGGCGGCGTCTCCACCCACCACAGGACTTAAAAGGCATTTGTATCAACTCTGTGTGTTTTAAAATAAAATAACCTTTTGGAAACATGTTGGAAAACAAAGCCCAGCGCCTGTCACTCACCCGCACCCGTGCTAACTTCTACAGACTTCTGACTTAGCGCGACATCACACTAGAGGCTGTGGCTGGAAAGACACGGGACGCGTGTCACTGGCATTTCTCACCTCAAACAAGGACACGGTCCACAGAGATATGGTGAGTCCCCACCGGACGTAGTCGGGAGGTTCTTGGAAATGGCGACTTCAAGTGAAACAGTTAATGAAACCAGTGTCACCACAGGCTAGTTGATGCAAACAAGTTCCTGTAGCATATTTCTGGTCACATGAACATCACCAAACTTCCAAGTAAAAACCCAGCCCGGCCAGCGAGGCTCAGTGGTTGAGCGCCGACCTATGAACCAGGAGGTCACGGTTTGATTCCTGGTCAGGGCACATGCCTGGGTTGGGGGCTTGATCCCCAGAGGGGGGCGTGCAGGAGGCAGCCGATCCGTGATTCTACTCGATATTACTGTCTTTCCCTCTCCCATCCTCTGAAATCATCGGGCCAGGGCCCCACCCTCACTGCCCCATTCAGCGTAAGTACTTCCCACAGGCTGCATCTCTAGATACATCACCTGACCTGGGGGCCACAATCCAGGCCATAACAGCAGGGGTCACAGACGCAGTGGCTAAGAGATTGTCAAACCCTCGAATTGGAATGGAAGTGCCATGGGAAACGGAAAGTTGCTCACCAGCGACTCCCAGGAGGAAAAAGGGTCGCACGCTCTCCCGCAGTTTCCTGGGCCCCGAGGAAGGGAGGTGAGGCTGGGGGTGACCGCTGAGCCCTTGGCCTTTCTCCCGCTAGGACTCAGAGGGGCTGGGAGGAACCTGGGGACGGGTCCAGACAGGGCCACCGTTCTGACTGGTCCCCGGCTTCTGGGTGTCCAAAAGGCTGTAGGGATAAGAGCTGTGCCCCGGCGCTGAGCTGCTGGGCTGTGTCTGGCTTTGCCCCCCCCGCCCCCTCATCATTGAACCATGCGAGCAGCGGAGTGTGGGCTCCGGTTGAGAACACCCGGCCGAGTCTGCCACTTCGGAGCTGTGCCTCCTCAGGCAGGTTCCTGTTGGCCAAGGCCGCAGTTGGCCATCTGTTGAGTGCGGATAACGAGCATCTGTTTCATTAGGGGGGTGAGGTTCAAGTGCACGGACCCACAGGAAGCCTTCCATAGAGCAGACACATTACACAAGTCAACACTGGCACAAAGGTCACGCCGGCCTGTCTGCCCTCGCACATCTGGGCACCTGCAGAGGCTCGCTGGGCTCCGAGGGGCAGAGAGCTCCTTGCGGGCACCTCAGCCGATGGTGAGCAGAGAGCAGAGCGTCACGCTGGGAAGCAGGGGAAACGTTTTTAGGAAACAGGTGGAATCTCCGCTCACTATCTCTGGCTTCACGGATCGCCCGCCGCAGTGAGTGCAGAATGTGTGAGTAAAGTGGAGGGCTTGTTGTGCTGACAAGTGGCAGTGCCCAGCTGGGTTGGCTCAGAGGCTGAAGCGTTGGCCCGTGGACTGAAGGGTCTCTGGTTCAATTCCCGGTAAAGGGCACGTACCTCGGTTACAGGCTTGATCCCTGGCCCCTGTTGGAGTGCTGGTGGGAGGCAATCATCTATGTGTCTCTCACATGAATGTTTCTCTCTCTCTTCCCACCTTCCTTCCACTCTCTCTAAAAATCAATGGGACAATATCCTCAGGGGAGGGGAAGGGAGGGAGGAAGGAAGGAAGGAAGATGGCAGCTTACTTTAACCCCGGGACTGAGTCAGGTGCACCAGCCTCTGAAGAGCTCCACCTGGGGGCGGGGGCGGGGACCTCACCCCGGCTTCTGCGGCCTCGCTCAGTCCCCAGGGCCCTCACAGAGGAAAACCCATGCCATGCTTGTTCTGTTTGAGGGCCACTTGAGCGCTTCCTGTGTGCCCAGCGCTCTGCCAAGTGCTGTACAAATACTGGCGCACCTGGTGCTCAGAGGCCTGGACGACCTCGGGGATGGCCCTCCAGCGACAAGCAAGGTGGGCTGCACGGCTCG